GTCGAGTGGTGTTTTTACTTATTATCTATGAATATGTGCGCTTTGCATAGGACGTATCATAGAACCATCCGTATCCTGTTAGATCTTTTCTTTGTCGTCAATACGTTGCATTCAGCGTGTACAGAATATATGTATAATTATTTTTTTAGTTGGGCTAAACATGTAGAATCATCGTGGGATGAGACCGTCAAGTGTTCGGGACCGTTGCCAGCCTTGTGACCGACGAAAAGTGAAGTGAAGAAAAACAAAAAAGATTTGAGCTTTGTCTTGTGCGATTGTCGGTCTCGTGTATTTGCTTTGTACATTGATCAGCACGTTTGGAGCGCACGACAATACTTACACGATGATTATAGTGAACTAATAAATGGTCGTTGGACACCGATATTTTACTATTATCTCATAAAACTCATGTCGGCACAATGGAGAGAAAGTATTTTTATTTTACTCTTTCGCTGCTGTTCATCTATTGTTTGATTTTTTCGAATCATTCTAACACCCACAAATATGGCCATGACTGAGTGTAGAAAAAGTTTAAATAACATCTATGCTTTTCTTGTATTTTATAATTGTCAAGTTCACGGGCGTTTCGATCGTTTCATTTGAATGACAAACATTACAAATATAATCGCTAATTATAAATCCTTGTAATTTTATAATAATATTTCAAGAATAATATTTGGCACCAGCTTCCTTAAATATTTGTTTTTAATTGCCTACAAATTACCTAGTGTCATAAAAATAATTTACATCCATAAAAAATGTAATTTAATGCTAACTAAAAGAATACATAGAAAAAAAATTTAATTATATTAAATAATTCGGTCGATTAAAACTTTGTTGGAGAAACTATGATAATTTAATTGAAATTACTAATAGATATAGTTACACCTGATTGTAGTTGGATAAATTATATATAATTTAATTTTAGATATATTACTAGGCTCTATCATCGTGGATTAAAATAATCAGTGTTGAACTGACAAAAAAGAAGGTAAAATGTTATTTCTTAGGTTTTTAGCCGTCCTTATACAATTTTAACATTTTTATTTAGATGTACATATCTAAGAAAATTAGTTTGCTACTTCATTAAATTTTACAGTGAACGAGGCACATCTATTAAACACTATGTGGCAATAATTTTTTACTATGCGTCGCTAATACCACTTACTTTAAACGTTACAATATTCTCAGACTATACAATTTTAGTTCTCGTATAATGTAAATATAATCATATTTCCATATTAATCGCGTTATTTAGTTGGAGTAACTATTTAAATGGTTACCCCAAATATATAGTTTTCTCATGGAGTAATTTTGTTCAAAATCACTTGGAACCGTGATAGGCATCTCAGTACATTTCAATATGCTGTAATAACTATTTTTTTATTACGTTTTGCCTAGCAACTATAATATGGCGAATATTCTATAACTCTTATAAATCTAATTATTATTTTACCAAGACACGATAAAACAATATTTACGGATGCATAGTAAATCTCAATTATGCACCAACAAACGGCAGTAGGTTAATATTTAATGGCATTTATTCCAATTAGTAATTGTGATACCGAAAGTCTTGTAAATATGTCGCTTTATATTGTATAGAATTGATTGGACGATTGTGCGGTTGATCCTCGTTAAAATAAGAAATTTGAAACCGCGTTTACAAGTACTTTAAAGTGTATAATGACGACGTGTCGGCCACAGCGGCTGCAGTAGTGTTACTAATTTATATTAAAAGTGTTACAATTAACTACAGAAAAACGTTCAACCGAATAAAATCGCTTTTAGTCATCTCGAAAACGTTTCGACCCATTTTTAAGTGAAGGACAAAATCATCGTCTCTGTCATACAAACATGCCTTTGAGTGCATTTTACTAATCATCTCATGAATATTAGTGCAAAAATCACATATGTGTATTGTGAATACCGTGCGGCATATTTGCGCCAACACTGAAATATATTACGAGAGTCAGTGACTTGAATGTTTTGTCATGAAATTCCTTTCTCTTTCCCTTTTGCTCTTGTATAAACACTATTTTTATTGTGTCGGATCATATTCCGACAGAACGTGCTCTGAATCATGTATGTTTATTATTCTTTTTTTTGTTACAAGGTACATTGCCATCATCATAAAATCGTTAATATGATTGATTTCGGAGACCTATCGCCGCGTCGTGTTGTGGGCTCAACATTTAACACGCTAATAATGAATATTGTGTCATTGTACATATTTATCAATGGAATAATTTCTTAAAGGTTATCGACGCACGTAATAACAAATGAACTCATATAACCACTTTTTAATTAATCAAAGTACAATTTGTTTTAATTCACTTTCACGACAAATGAATTACAAAAGCAATCATACAGGATTTACAGGGTTCGACACCAGCTTTGGACCAGTATTTTGGTAGTTAATATAATGGGTCTGTTTATTTGTATCTCAGAGTATTAATGAACCGCACACTACTCCCGCCTTGTTATAAAAATGATAATACCGTTTAGAATAGTCCAAAGTTGTTTTGGATCAGCCATTTCCTTAGACAGATCATTTCATAGTTTGTAAGTTGGTTAAACATTTGTGTTTCCATTTAAAAACTAAATTTGAATGAAAAAGAGGAGGGATAGGACCAATTGTTTTCTGAAAATTATAGAACTTAAAATACTATTAACTTTTGAAAAGAAAATATGATATTACGACTTATATTTTTCATAGTTAAACAATCACATGCATATTTAAAATAATCAAATGTACGATCGAGAATTATTTTAATGTAATCCTAAAGTACTTTTAAATAAAAACAATTGCTTACATTTTATTGTGTTGAATATTTAGTATTGTAAATGTATAATATTACACATCTAATAGATCTTATACTTACATAAAGAAATTATAATGTCTTTAAATAGTTAAAATTCTTGATTGAAAATGTTTAAGTGTAAAACGGTTTAAAGTATTTAAACAAAATGTTTAAATATTTAATACTTTTATTTGCCAGTGTATTTTTATTAATTTATTTTTTTTATGGATTGGGAAAAAATCTAAGTTAAAGATTTATGTGCATATACGAGTATTTATTAATTTTATTATATTTATATTTAATGTACTATTAATTCAATTAAAATCAGTTCTAAGAAATATATTTAATGAAAGTTTAGAGATTCATGTTTTATTTTACTTATTTTGTTTTGACGTGGGAAGTTCAATAACTTACACATGAATTTATTAAGTTTCTAGTGCTAATATATAGAGAAAACAGACTCTTCTCGTAATAACAATCGTGTTTATTCAAAAGTAATATTGTTTTTCTTATCTTTAAGTACCATTAAGATTATAATAATATGTTAAATTACAGTGGAAAGTCCTTAAGTGTCTGGACTGTTAACTAGTAGGTGCACCTTTCCATATTAGTAGTCGTAAGAAGTTTGCTTATAACGATGTTACCATATTAAGCTTATATATAAGTTCATAGTCCAGTTATGCGTTTTACTTATTTGAATATTGTAATTAAAAATAATTATATTCAATAATATTATAGTTTGCCTATACATATCATTTCATTAGGAATATTTTTATTTTAAAGTTTACACTTAAAAGTAATTGCTGTCTAATTTTCACGTTTTAAAGAGAACTCACATTGAAAAGTATTTAGAATGGTATAATAATAATAATAAATAAGATTTTTTTATAAAACGCTTAGCGTAAGTGTTGTACTTCAGAATATTATATTAGAATGTGTATATTATAACGACCTTTCTGATTTTTATACCAATTGTATTACTATTATTATTCATTTAAGATTTGAATTGTTTTCAGATTTTATCTAAAAAAATGTCTAACTAGAATGGTTATTTTATTAGTGAATAGTGTAGATTATAAATTTAAATATTTACTGTTTACGTATTATTCAGGTTACATTATATATTTTTTCAATTGGGAATGTGGTAAAAGAGACAAATAATATACAAACCAGTAAACTGTATTTATTGGAATCGATGGAGATGGAATCGATTAAATAAAGTATATGTAATAAAATACATTATATAAAATGTATGACACTTAAAAATTCTAAATAACGTAAAGAGCACAAATATAACTAAAAATTGTAGATTAAATTAATTGATAAAATAAATATATTCGTAAATAGGTTAATTATACACAAGAAAATGATAGTATAAATTTTATTTTGCATTTTTTTGTAAATAGACACAAATTTATTTTAAAAGTAGACAAAATTATTTAATTGAAATTAAATATATAAAAAAAAATAATTGTAACGTGTATAAAATTATTTGTTTTACAAAAAATTCGTCTATTTTTATTTTTTCTACTATAATTTTGTCATTACACTCATTTTTTTTTTTGGTAATATTTCAAACAATTTAGTCTTATTATTGAGTCTACAAGATTTATTAAAAAAAACATATGTTCTTATATCAATAGAAAAGTAGTACTACTATGTTCTGGTCAATAATTACATACAGAATTTTTAAGAAAAGCAATATACTAAAAATAATGTTTTACAAGTTCAATTATTGATTTTTTGGTGTTTATGTAAAATGTTTTTAAAAGGATAATTAAAATAACTTCAGCTAAAGACATGCAATTCATAACTCGTTCGTGTGTCTTTTCGTGCAGAGAACATAAAAAGTAAAAAGCCACGTTTCACATGGTCAACTGTCAGTAATTCTCAATAATATATTATCCCGTCATCGCTTTACATTCAGCGTTCAACTTTCCCCATCCGGTCCATACGAATCAGGTCGAGGAAAATTCTACGAATGTTTTTGGTTTGTCACCACACCTAGGAAACTTCTTTTTTATACCTATTACCATGTTTAAAAGAAATAGATGGGCCACAATCCGTGTAATGTTCTACTTGTGACAAAAAATACTATCACCGGTTAATGTAAACGTCGTTTCGACGCAGAAGAAACCGCCAGAAACATCAACAGTACTCCCACCTAATAACTGTCTCTCGTAGTAAGGCAGGTCTCGTCGTTCCGGTGTGCCATCCGTTGGTTGCACGATACCGGCGTGCATTCCGTCTTCCGCTGTCGTTTAGTAAAGTATTTTTATCCAGTGTCGGTTTTTTATTATTTTGAGCGTAATATGTTTTATGAAATGCGTGATAAGAGGTACGACTCAGCCGGTTCTTCCGGCTGTCTTGGTCGTTGTTGGGTTTTGGTAGCCTTGTGTGGTCTATTTATAACTGTGTCGTTTATAGGGATGACCTTGTGGCTCGGCATGAACAGTCGACCAGACGTGCCGCCGATCGCTCCTCATCACCATCATCATCATCAACAGTCTCAACCCACACACGTACCATCCAATGTACATAGGCACCATTACGAGACAACGACTACTAAGTCGACATTCCCTGCAGTCGACTACGAGGTAATGCCTACGACTAGCATAAAAAACAAAAAGGGAAGAATTGAAATTGTAGAACAAGAGAAAACTGCCAAGATCGAACCAACCACTCCTATGTATAGAATTGAACCAAAGTTAGGAGATGGTATTAATCCGGTAGAGGATAACTCAGATGTATCGAGTAGCACTAATGGCGTGCGAAAGAAGAGTGAAGTAGTATTCCCTCAATGGTCGGATTTAGAGAGTAAAGCTGAAGAATTATACGAACCGCCACAAGAATATCCTCCGTACTATGTAAATGAACAACAAGATTCTTCACAACTCAGTCCCATACCAGCCTTTTCTTATCTTAAAGAGCATCCAGTCAGGCTTACCGGAAAAGACATTAGGCCACCGGTTGAAATTGATAGTGAAGAGTATCCATTTTATTATACACAATTTGAAAATGCAGTTCCTGAAAATAAGGAAACCAATCCTGTTTTCAGTTTCTTACGGAAGAGGTTACAAGATGTTCACGATTGGTTAGCGCAGACAGGTAACAACCGAGTCAAAAATAAGAACAACCAATGGATTCAAATGGTCGACGCTGTCAATCAATCATTACACACGAAAAATGCCACTATAGTGCTATCTAAGTTGCGAGAAATGTACTTTAACAGCACCAGTGACTTAGCACCTGATACACCAGTAGCTAGTCTAATATATCCAGTAGCAGCCAATGATTCTACGGCTAGTCTCGTATCATTCGGTTTGTTGGCCATCGACTTGTTCTTATTGCATAACGTGCAACAAATAGCCGTCAACGAGGATGCTGTGGCTGGACAACAGATGCTCAACGATCCAGACGTGGTAGCCATGAACGCGTTGTTTTTGCCTCCCGACCGAGTAAAACAATTGCGTTCGGCGAACTCTCGTGTTTTATCTGATAACCGCGGTAATAAAGGTTTTATATCAGAGCTTATGGAGTTTGTCAACAGCGGTCTCAGAGCTATATTGAACCTAAGTCGGGCTTATAGGAGTAGTTCAAGATCTTTCAGCGCACAGGGCAAAAGTGTTGATGGTGGAGCACCGGTTAGTGGTTCTTCTTTAGATTGTATTTGGACGCTATATTGTAGAAACTTAGACAAAACAGCCAGATTAGAAGGACCATATGGATTCTTAGCTAAAATGAACAGGTAATTTTTTATCTTTTTATCAGTAAAAATACCTTTCAATTTTTAACTGGGATTCGTGAAAGTGTATAAAAAATAAAGAACATGGTAGTTAACCTCAAAAGTTGGTAATTACAGTGAAGTAAAAGAATAAAAGTGTAAAAATTAAATAAATATTTTTACATGAGTGTATTGGTAATTAAAATTATGAAAAACATATTATTTTTCATACCACATAAAATAATTTCGTCAAAAAGACCTTATTTGTTTTATACTTAATTGTATGACAAAATATAAAAATAATATGTTGAAATAAATTAATTTCTATTAAGCGCTTTATACTATTATCAATATACTACATAGTTTGCTACTTTAAAACAATAGAATGAACGTAATATTTTTAAAGTTTGTAACTTGATATGTGATTCAAATATTAATGAATAGATAAAGTATTTTATAAAAATTAATTTTGCAGTACTCATTTTCTAATTTATTTAACTGAATATTTATTAAATTTTTTTAACATAACGGTATAGTAGTTTTGTTGTTTATTTTAAAAGATATAATTCTTAAAAGATTTAAATTTGTTTTATATTTACAATGTAAGAAATAATGTTATCATAATCTGTGTAATTTTTTTTTCGAAAAATGTGATTTGTAAAATTATTCTTAAAAATAAATTTTTTAATAAGTAATAAATAAATAACTACTACGCCGTGAGTCTTCTAACTATTTAGAAAGTAAACTTTGGGGGATAATTTTTTTTATTTTTATAAATAAAAGTTCATAAGTCTAATACACTTTTAAAAGTTAATCAAAACTATCTCCACGACACTTTTATTAAAGAAAATGAAATAAATTATTATAAATGACTGGATATTTTTCATGTTACCGCTGATTTTAGATAAACGACAGGCTACTATTAGGCGAATATGATATTTATGCTTTAGTATATTGTAAAGGAAAGATTGGGTATCATTTCTAGAAATATTAACGTTATCAGTAATATCTCATGAATATTTAATGCTCGAGTATTTTACAATGGAACAATTTTCTAAATAGTCTTCACTGTTTAGTGGGAATTTCATAAACTCCGGACGTCCGCGGTTTTAAGCACCACAGTTTATTATGTTATCTGTTTATGAAGAGTAGAGAAAATTGAACGAGATAAATATTTTAACAAAAAAATGAATTTAAACTAAATTGGTATGAATTAGTTTGTTTACACCGAAGACTAAGTAACATTTTCTTATTAAAATAACAAAAATAGAAAAAGCCAAAATAAGAATCAATAGAAAAATTATAAACGATCATTAGTATATTTGTAGTGTTTGCTGATTCGTCACTTGAGTGTGAAAATGTACACCTAAAAAATGTTTAATAATGTTTTTGACTATATCAGATGTATCGGCGAGCCTTAACAAATCAACTGTTACTATAATTTAAAATTACTTTAATTTAAATAACATTTGTTGAACGAGGTTTCGTTGACATTATTAAAAATCATTTAAGTAATTACATTATAAAAAAATGGAGTAAATTGATTTTGAAACTATTAAAATGTTATGCTAGTTCATGTTATAAGTATGAATAATCGCTAATAAGCTTGTTCTGACTAATTCTAATTTTATATAACCTAAATGTATTGATCATGTCTAACATTTTACGTGGCTTCAAGTTAATCAAATTATTATCGAGCAATATTTTTTTTTTAGCAAAATTATAATTAGTGGTTTGTTTATTTTTTTCTTAAAACATCAGGTAATACTACAAAGCGTATTCTTAGTCATCTAAACAGCCGTATAATAATTTTTGTATAATGATTTCTGTTGACTGAAAAATATAGATTATTAAGTAATAGTAATACTAATTTTTAACGTCATAAAAATAAATTAAATGCTTTAGAGAAATCAAAATTAGAAAATTTCAGATTAATGTATCATTTACCTTCTAATTCATTACGGTTAATTAATTTTAAAAGCTTGACGTTACCAATATAAACTGTTTCATAGAATCAGCAAAGTTATATTTAATACAATATGCTTCTCTGAGTAATAGATTTGTTGGATTCGATTTGAAGACCATACGAGTGAGACAACGCGAGAAAAGGGTTAAGCGCGATATTGTGCGTTGAATGATTACGGTCGCTTTATGGATGAGGTCTGCAGCTGCATTCAATGAATTAAATAATTCATTTGATTCGTATCAAAGGCAGTGTATTAAGTATTGTTCATTGAAATTTCCTCCAGTCATTGAATTTGATCCAAATGTACTATCCATTTAATATTTATAATACGACTTCGTTCTTTTTTCTTTTAATTAAATTTTACTCCATTAATTGCGATTATGGTGATTAAATTCATACTAATAGTGTAGTTTAAGAATAAAATATTATATATAGTTACTAAAATATCTTCTGGTTTTATTAGAAAGTTATTATAGTTGAGTTTGTGTTCTGAGGATAACGTTACCGTCCAATTTACGTTTTATATATTTATTTTTTGTTGATGTTATAGTTTAAAAATCGTCGTTGCCTTGTATATAAAGGTAGAATATACAATGTGAACTTATTAACAATTTGAAAACATAGTTTTATTTAATCAAAGTAATGTCTTAATTGTAACAATCAGCCACAGACAGCTGTCAAAATAAAATATAAGACAATAGAAATCGTATTGACAATGGTCACACTTTAATTTTACGGATCTATTATTGCCCTTCAAAACTGACTTGATTACTAAATAATAGCTTCTGTACTTTTAAAAAACATTAATTAAATTACGATTAAAACTATTGGATAAATCATTTAAAAGTTGAAATATTTGTCTTTGATATTGTAAACACCAACAATAATTTATTCAGTAATATTATTTTAAATAGGTATAAACCTACAATTTTATTGTTTTTCAGTTTTTATTACCGGTGAAGATTTAATTTAAATGAGACATGCGTATAAAATAAAAATAATGAAAAATACATAAATACCTATCATATAGGATTTTATTTATGTCGATGTCTTTTATAGAATTAAATAAAATTTAAATAAATTACACTTGTAACAAGTGTGATCATAATTTGTTACCTTGTAGACACAAATACAAATACCATTATAATGATATTCATTTTATTTAATAAAATGGATAAAATAAATTTTGTTTAAATGCAATGAATAATTTCTGTATTTTAATGTCTTGTTTTATTAATTAATTGATAAATCGTAAGTAATAATATGCATAGTTAATGTTATAAATAATGATGGGGGCACATTGGAGAGTGACACATTTCTTACAATTTTCAAGTTTCAAGAAATGTAGAGCATATCTTTGTTGTTTTGTCTGCTGCACGAATATCATAATGAAGAAACGTGCCGTTTTTCTTAGATTTAATAATATGGTCAACATATGGGCCTATTTGTCTACGAGCAATAGTTTTTTTATTCACCTTGTACTATTGAACTTTTCCGACAATGTCGGGAATTTTGTAGGTTATTGATCGATGATTGACTAACGAAAAAACAAGAGCACTTCATCACGAATAATCTGATAAAATAAATGCTACAGTAATGATCATTAATAATTAAAACGTTTTTCAATAGAATTTAAACAATGTTGCTGTTTTTTTATCTATCTTGTTTTTCATTGGCAGTGGCGTAACCAGGATTTTTGTTCGGCAGACTTAATCCTTTTTTTTTATTTTATCACATACTTTTACTAGTGTCAAAGTCATATACTGTTAATAGTAAACCAATGGAGGGTCAATTATTACTACAATAACCCCTTTAGCCCCTCCCTTGCCTACGCTATTATTCATTTGTGCCGAAACAATAAAATGCTTGTACGATGTTTCTTTGTAATTTGGTCATCATTTGAATAAAAAGGGATTATATTCATGTTAATTGTTAAATCGTGGCTTTAGCGTTCGGATATCATATTTTGTATGAAAACAATATAAATAGAAAAATTGACCGTTATGCAGAGGTGGGTAATGATGATTGTTTACCGGTTTTTCCCATGGTAGTGTAAATGATTGTAGTAAAAAACAAAAATCCATATAAAAAACTAATAAAAAACGTAAACAATCCGTATAGGTATAACAGTAATATTCGCGTAACAATGTGTATACCTAAGCAATTTAACAAAATTATACGGTGTACGCTTTTTTTTAAAACTTTTTGGTCAATTTACTTCAGTTTAATAGTGTAGCGGATCCAAATGATCCCATTATATCCACTAGAGTGATATAATCTACTTGGATAACGGTAGCTGACTGACAAAAAGTAAAAACAATTTTCTTTGAAACCACATGAACAGGTATTTTTAGAAGAATGCAGCACATTAATGAACATGAACTTCTTGTACAATTGATGTTGACTTTTAGACGTAAAATAATAAATGCTTGGTTGAACCCAAAACATTGACTGATAAAGAGAAAAATATTGAATCAATTTAAAGAAGTTTTTTTAATAATAAAAATTACTGTTCTAATTAAGGTCGTTTACTTGAAAGGTTTGTTGGTCTGTAATAGGTATGGCGTACCATCAATATAAATGGTCTAGGAAATCTCAAGCGAGGGGGTTGCCCAAGTGATTTACGGTCGACTTAAAGACCCGACGAGCACAAAATAATAATATTTCTGACAAAAAATGCTCACTATACGTACAAAATACATAATGGGAAGCCGTCGTCACCGCCTTTGCCCGTCCCAGATTAGCTCAGCAACCAGAAAACACGTTGTTGGCAAGTCGCCCGGTGCGTGCGAATAACAGGGGACTCAGTTGGTGATCAATTTACTAGGGAGACACCGACATAACAATATAATTTGTATACATTATTTGCATTGATATAGCGTTCAATTTTTATTAGTAAAAATTTGACGATAAAATTGCATTACATTTTTCGTCTTAAAATTGATTACTTCGTTTACAAATTCTTTGTCAATATATCAAAATTAAAATATTCAGAATTTTAATCAAAAAATACATAGTACTTTATAAAATTAGGAAACTATATCATAAAGTTTAAATT